CACTGCTACACTGCTACACTGCTACTGCTACTACTGTTACTACTACCACCACCACCAGCACAACGACGACAACGACGACGACTACTGCTGCTACCACCACTACCACTACTACTTCTTCTTCTTGCCTCAATCACCGACATCACCAACCACCAATACTCCTGCTCGCACTCACTGGGCGGCGACGAGAACTGTATAGTACTAGCATGAATAGGAACCAATAGCACTCCCTGACTGCTACTATCACAACAAAGCTTGTTCACATTTTGCCTAAGAGCCCCCGGTCGTGTTGCATAGCAATGGAAGCTCTACTTCAGAACAAGACGGCTTAAACACGTTAGCCAACTCAAATCTTTCATCCCTCGCCCATCATCCTCCGCTGCGTGCACTGCCAGGTCGGCAGCCTCCACCCACAAATCACGAAACTGCAGCAACAAGCAACATGCACGGATACATGCCCTTGAAATGAATGCGAGCAAGTTCGGGTCTTGTTCTAGTCAGCATAACAGGGATCCATCTGCAGAGGAGCCTACTGGGCTGGTCACGGAAGCGGTTCTGCTTTCTGTTGATGACGAAATCGTGCTTCGAGGCTCGACTTCAATCTTATCGACAACTGCGGTTTCTCGCACTGCCAAGCATCTGGAAAGTCTACTAGTGCAATAGGTTCGGGCCGGGCCTCCTTGGTTGACATTGGCTCGACTGCTTCCACCTCACCCGGCCAGGTTTTCGTGCATTTTGTCCAGCCATGTGGGGCCTGACTACCATGACCAACCATTTACCATGTGTGAAAGGGAGTGTATGCTGGACTTTCTTTCGGACACTTGTACGGGTAACCACTGAAGCGAAAGCCTGCACACTGCATTCTTTTCGCCCTCACCATGCACTCGGACCGGTTAGCCGCTACAACTAAAAACAAAGAGGCAGATCGTTCAGATTCAATCGAATACGGCACCGTGCAAAAGCGAATGCCTGCTGCCTCGCGCTCCACAACGATCGGCCACAGAGCCCGAATGCCATGTAGAACGCAAAAACTTTACAGACCTCCCGAACCCATGCTTCAGAGCAAGAGTTGGTGACACATGATCTGTTTGTGGGATACGCTACTCTCAGCTGGTCACAACACTGTCACTTTTCGAAAGAACCTGCGCTCTCGATGCTTCAGAGCTCGAAAGAGGCCACACATGCCAGTGCATGCGAGCACCTCGTGGATTGAAGTTTTTGGTTGTTCTCAACTACGCATGTTGGCATGCAGCAACATCCCCTGCCCTATTGAGCCGGGGTCGTGAAACTGGTCCCCGCTGGCAGCAGAGCAAATTTAAAAACAAGCGACAGCAGCGGCAGCAAAGTGCAACAACGTACACAGTCGATGTACAGCTGGCTTGAACCCACAAACAGTTGAACCACAAGCATCTACACCTCCCGCCAGAACCGCGGTGTTAGGCAACACGAACCAAAGTAGCTGCAAAGGACATCGACGAGAAGTTGAACTAAACCCGACCATGGTAACCACCCTTCAAACCACGAAGCCCAAAGTCGTAAGCATTGGGACCCAGACATTGAAGTACTACCATATCCTGCATAGTGCTTACGTGCTTTGGTGCAAGGTATTTGACCATCATATCCCTTGGTTTTCATGTTCTGAAGCTGCTGTCCAGGCCTTGGCCAGGTCTCCTCACGGCGTAACATGGCACGCGCCGGCTGCTTTGCAAAGAACTTGTAGTGGTCCCTGATTTGTCCCGCTGGTTTGACGAAACCAACTTGTGAAGGCCCATTCTCGTCGAGCTGGTTGCCTATCTCTTGCCAGTAGCGCTGTTTCTCTCTTTTTCTCCGCACTCCCACCCATCCCTTTCGCGGGACTCCTGCGGGCAGATTGTCTCTGCCGATCGCTCCTGCTCTGGCTGCGTGATCTCATTTCTTGTTGACTCCATGTCTCGTATGCGTAAGAGGCCGCCCATGGAGCTTTTCCAGATGTCGGGCAGGATTCTCCCATGACAATGTACCAGGATGCAACATGCAGTTGTCAATTCTGCCGGCACGTCAAGCAAACTATGATCTTTACAAAAAAAACCCGATTCTCAAGCTGCAGCGTGGAAAGCATTGAGCCGACATGTCTCATTGTTTTGCACGGTGGAAACACTATGCACCAAAATCGGAGAAAATCACTGAGGCAACAGCGGAAGGGGTGAGCGCAGGAGCTGGGGCCACCTGAAGTTTCAAGACGGCGCTTTCATTTTACGCCGCCCCAGAGATTTCTTCGGGCAATCGCTGACATGGCGGACAAGGCGGCAGGGCCAGGTGCCTGCGATGTGAAATTGTGATCAAGGCCGTTCAAGTTCACAGCTCCGGGAGCGGCATTTGTTCAAGCTGATGCGTCGTAAGTGTTAGGGTATGTTTTGGGTGAAACCGAAAGTCAAGGAAAGAGATGTGCCTGATGACGCAAGTTGTGTAGCTACGTGCATATACATATATACACACACGCACAGAATTTGTGTATGTGTGTCTACATACATATATCTGAATGTAAAGTTAAAAACTAATATGTATACTTATGTAAACATGTACATATATCTATGGCATGGGCAGCTTACGCATGTAATTCTGCAAATAAGGATATCGTGCGTGTGTGTGTGTATATATATATATGTATAGACAGAATCCAGCATGTGCGTAAGTGCGTGTATCTATGTACAGACCTATGTATCGAAGCATGTGTATACGTACATATGTATATACATAAATAACATGTATGCACATGTGAGTATGATGAAAAGCATAAACGCATCATCTACACAAACGAACAAACGAAAAGAGCATATTTATATGTATATAGATAAATAAGTATAAATAAATAAATAAATATATATATATATATATTACCATATGTATATATGGATATATATATATATATGTTTATTTATTTATTTGCATGGTTATACATACGTATGTAGGTATGTGATGGAAGAGGCGTACATGTGTTTATGTTCTCTGCAGGTGTGCAGGCAAAGAAGCACATGCTAAAAATGCGCCGATTCGCACAAGGTTATCGGCTGGAAACCGAGAGCGCGCGACGCTGCAACAACCCTATGATACCAGAAGACCGCAACGCAAGAGCCTGGACCCTGAAACCGCGTTAAGACAAGCCCAAAGTCCAATGCACTTTATGCACCCACCATGCACCCGATGAAACAGTAGCAGTAGCAGTAGCGACAACAGTATCAGCAGCAGTTGCAGTAGCAGTAGCAGCCGTGGTACCGGGTAGCGGTAGCGGTAGTGGTACAGGTAAGTAGTGTAGCAGTAGCAGTAGCAGTA